TCAAAAGTAGAAAGAAGAGAAGCGAGATAGAAAGAATCATCCTTTATTAATTAATAAGGGAATATGTGCCCTAAAATGCCGGGGTCGGGCTCGCCCGGGGGATAGTCTCTAACAATCACGGGGTTTACATCCCTTAAGCAAAGAAAAAGATTTCCTAATGACTAGAGTGGCTTTTGACGCTTGCACCCCTCCACTTCGGAAAATCCGCTGAGTGTGCGGAGGGGGACTTCCCTTTACTTTTCCCGCTCCGCCCTTGAAAGGGTTATATCCTAGGCCATACTTGTGAGGATTGTCTTTGAATTACGGGGTTCCCTCATTCCTTGGGAATCTGCCCCTAGTCCTTGGCCGGGATGGTAGCCATGCTTCAACATCATGCGGGCTACTTTGGTGTTTACGGGAAGTCGCTCTATGCTTGGCGATGTTTGTTATTTCTTCTTTTATTGGTGAAGATTCCCCATATCTCCACGGTACGGCCTTATCGACTCGTAGGGGAAAGGACGTGGCATAAAAAGTTGCACTGGCGTCCTTGCCCCCTCTTCTTTATTTTTGAGGACCAACGGCAGAGGTTTATTTCCCTCTTGCGATGATTCAACCGTTGGGGTGAGCTTTATTAGGAGTGGCTTTCTCTCCATTCTTCGGGTTTGGAGGACACGTCGGTCAATCCTTCCTTTTTATTATCTTATTCATTAAGCGTGAAGGAGGGGAGTTAAATATGCAAATGAATGCTTATGCATGCAAGTAGACAAATGTTGAAAAAGATTTCATTAATTCTATGAAAGGTGTACATTCTCCTACTCCATACTACGAAGCGTCTTTTGGCAAAAGCGGAAAAGCCTAAAGAAACCCACGGGCGGGTCTTGTTTTCTTTGTAATTCTCTTTCGGCTTCCGGACGTGGTGAGCGAGCGCTTCGCTTTGCTTATGGATCGCTTGGCTCATTTCTTCGCTGTATTGTTGAGCCTCCTTGATCTTCGCCTCTCGATGTATGACCGGGGCTTCTAGTTCATCGAGCCTTGCAACAGCTTCGGTCCTTTTCTTCTAGTATTTGGTCATGCTGAGCTAGCCCTCTTTTCTCCTTAATGCGCAGCTCATAGAGGCCTCGGCCGAGTTTTCGTTGTTCTCTCGCTCTTGGCGGAGGTCTAGCCGAGCTTGGAGGAGTTGTTCGACAACTCTTTGATCGTTTGGGCTCTGCTGAGCTGATTCCGCCTCAAGGTGTGCTTGCTTTGGCGGTTATTTCCTGCGAGTTGGCTATCCGAGCTGGTTCACGCGGTTTTGGATGCTCGGATAGCTTGTTCGTTGGCATCAGCACATCAATCCTTGAGGCGCTCTATTTCATGATCCTTTTTCTTGCCTTGCCTTTGTAGACCATCGATTGTGAGGATAGAGGCTTGTTCTTTTTCCTCAAGGGCCCATATCTGGGCTCCCATTATTTCTACCCTCTGGGTCAAGGCATTGACTTGTGCCTGCAGCTCTTCGTTATTAGCGATTGGTGTAGGTGTGGTGGATGGTCGAGCCACCTCTCTTCTTCTTCTCCACGCCTCATAGTCACTGGTGACAGTTACCCGAGCTTTTCCGAGCTCTCTGTCCCCCATATAGACTGGCTTCTCCCATGCTTTCCTCACAGTTAGCGAGTTGGCGATTGTGCATGGGTCTCCAAAGAAGCACAACCCTCCGAGTTCCCCTCGGGATATGATAGTTTGAGTCCTCATGAGTTGCCTCATAGCTACTCTAGGTGAGTAGGCTATGCAGCCCCTGAGTCCTATCAAGGGTATATTCGGGTAGCTCCCGCATCTAATGAGAATTGGGCCGGGTCGGAACCAAGGACAAACCCAAGATATGCTGCTGGCGTCCCTTTGTTCTAGCTCGTCCCTCCATTCTATTGTTAGGCGTCGCTGGAGGGGGATCTTGGAGAAGCTTCTCAAAGGATCGGGGAATATCCCCATGTGACTGGAGGCGTATAGATGTGTAATGCTCCACACATAAAGTAACGAAGAGCAGCAGCGGAGTGTTCTTCCCTGTTTCTGACGGCAGAAGTCTACCGAAAGCAGGGTGTCGGCAAGAATAGCAGGCAAGGGACTCTTCGAGTTCACGTCCCAAGCGAAGAAAGCGTCCATAACGGCTTGATCAAGCGTGTCGAGGTGGAAGGGGAACAGGGATCGTTCCAAAAATTAATAAGGCCAGGGTTTTGTTGAAGGCAACCCACTCGCCCTTTCGGCCAGGTAGGACAGGTGGTCTTCTAGCATTGATACTCTCCACCCCTGGGTGTTCCCTCTTCCGATCAGGGTACTCTGTCGGTGCGGTAGATGGATGAGAGCAGCGTCTGGTGCAGCAGGAATATATGCCTCGTGGCGGATATGGACCCCAGCTGATTTGGGCCATTTTAACATGATTTCATACTCCTCTAGGGTAGGCACCATGTCGAACTGCGGAAATTCAAAGCACCGCAGACTTGAGTTCCAGAAGTGAACCAGTACCCTGAGAAAGACTTGGTCGACACTGATTTTCAGAAGGTCTAAAATCCGTCCATAGGACTTTTCAAAGTCGGCACGGACCTCCGGTGGCATCATTACGCTGAGCCGTTCTAGCTTCTCGGTTTGGGCTCGGAGAATGTCCACCTTCCCCACTTGCCTACTCGTTCCCTCCATTTTCTAAAATGATGTGATGGAGATGATGTTTATTGTATGAATGTGAGTGTTTATTGTGCTATTTATCATGTTTTTCTATATGATGCATGGTATTTGCTTATTTATTTTTTTTTGAAAAAATAAACTATCTATATGAATGTTTTTATGAATGCAATATTCTTGGACCAGGTCTTATTTCATGAATTTGAAAAGAATGGATTTTTTCTTATTTTTATTTGTTTATTTTATAGCCTTTTATCTCTTACGTCGGAGCTGCGTGGCTACTTAGCTTGCAAAGAACCCGAAACCAGGCTAGCTAAAAGGCAGACTGTCCGAGATAAAATATGGCTTTATGCAAAAGAATGTTTAACGTCCCTTATCTCTTCGTCGGGACTAGCGTGGCTACTTAGCTTGCAAAGAACACTGAAACCAGGCTAGGCTGAAAGGCGGACTGTCCGAGATAAGGGGTTTATTTTGAAAAATATTTTTTGTGATTTTGTTCTGTTGTTTGTTTATACTTATGCAACAATCAAATGCAACAAACATATGCACACACAATTCGATCATCCCCGAACCGGCGAGATTTCGTTTTTACGAGGTAGGGTTTTCCTGCAGAAAAGTGCATTGTTTAGGGTAGGTTCTAGCTGTTCTCACCAGGCTAAGGCCCCCAAGGTGCCCCCATTATAGGGTCCCCACTCTCCAGCCGTCCAACCATGCTCAGCACTAAGGCCAGAGTCGGTCTTGTTGCCAAAAGAGGAAGGTTATCACCTTGAGTGGTGGTTTCCGATCACACTAGTGGGCACAAGGCCCTAACTGCAGCGAACCGTACCTGCCACCCTCTCCCTATGGTTATCTCACTTGCCCCCGGGTATAGAGGGAACTGTTGTGTGCAAGGGTTTGTGTACAGTTTTTATTCCACACAATTGCGTAAGTGTAAACAAACAACAGTTATTTGAAAGCCAAGCAGTAAAGCATGTTATAATACAAGGCAGGGTAAAAGCGCTATTTTCTTGGTTTAATTATTTTTAAGCCAGCCCATCACTAAATGGGATCAACTCTCTAGGCTTCCCCAGCGGAGTCGCCATCTGTCGCCGCCTCCCCCAAAGAGGGGGGCGCGGTCGGAGCGACGCGATGGTTTTTCGACTCTTTATTTGATTTTCGCGTTTTTTATTGGTGGTTACAACACCTTTAGGTTGTCCGATAACCGGGCTAACCTAGGGGCGAAGTTTTCAAAAGTATCCCTGAGTTGTCCTATAACCGGGCTAACTCGGGGATTTATTTAATTTGGGTTCTATGGAGTCGCCACCGATATTTTTACCATAAACATCGGAAAAGGGTTTTTTAAAAAGGCGTTGGTTTTCGAAAACCAACTTGGTCATTAGAACCAGAGTTGGGTAAGGGAGTTAGTTACGTGTAAAGGAAGTATTAGTTCCTTTACGATGCCCCTTTCGGGTTCCCTATGATAGGCTGGCTAGCTTGAATAAATAATTAAACTGTAAAATAGCGCTTTTACCCTTTTTATTGTGCGGAATTTTAAATGTATGACTACATGGCCCTAACTCCTATTGCATAATTTAAATAGCAGTAATGAAGATAGAGGGAGAGAATTATGCACCTCCAAGGCAAGCTCTTTATATAAAGTGGGTGCGTTTTGGCAACCCTTCACTCTACACTCTCAAAAAACTCCGGAAATGCTTCGGAGGGGTCCTAAAGAAGATTTCAAACGCTCAAAATACTCCTAAAGACACTCAGAGACTCCGGAAATGCTTCGGAGGGATTCTTAGAGAGAGAAAAGCTAGAGAGAAGGGAGAGCTCTTGGAAGACTGTGTGGAAATGAGGGGGAGAACGCCCCTATTTATAGTTTTTCGCGCCTGACAGGTCGAGACCGCCGTCTCCTCTGACAAGGTCGAGACCGCCGTCTGGAAAGTCCAGACCGCCGTCTCGACCAATCCAGAAAGCGAGACCGCCGTCTGGAAAAGCCAGACCGCCGTCTCGATTTTGCAGGAAACGGGACCGCCGTCTGGAGAATCCAGACCGCCGTCTCGAATTTGCGGGAAACGAGACCGCCGTCTGGAAAACCGAGACGGCGGTCTCGTCCTGGCGTTCAGACGAGACGGCGGTCTGGTCCTTCCAGACGGCGGTCTCGTCCTTTCAGGGCGAGAAACTTTATTTTTTGGGCCTAAAAACCTTCCTATCCTGGTACGGGAGCCTAATAGCCTCTCCTAATGACTTGTTAAGCTTCGGCCGTCTTCGAATAGGCTGCTTTCTGGCTTTATTCTGAGGCCGGGCAAGATTTGGGGTCTACATTCCTCCCTAACTTCTTCTCCTTCCTTCACTTCTTCCCCATCCCAAACTATTTCCCCATCCTTAACTTCTTCTCATTCCCTAACTTCTTCTCCATCCTTAACTTCTTCTTCTCCTTCCTTAACTTCATCTACATCCCAAATTTCTTCTCCATCCTTAACTTACACTCCATCCATAACTTCTTCTCCTTCCTTCACTTCTTCCCCATCCCAAACTATTTCCCCATCCTTAACTTATTCTCCTTCCCTACCTTCTTCTCCATCCTTAACTTCTTCTTCTCCTTCCTTAACTTCATCTACATCCCAAATTTCTTCTCCATCCTTAACTTACACTCCATCCATAACTTCTTCTCCTTCCTTAGCTTCTTCTTCCTCCTTGATTTCTTCTCCATTCCAAACTTCTTCTCCATCCCAAACTTCTTCTCCATCCTTAACTTCTTCTCCTTCTTTAACTTCCTCTCTTTCCCTAACTTCTTCTCCTTCCCTAACTTCTTCTCCATCCAAACCATCTTCTCCTTCCTGTAGACCCCAAATCTTGCCCGGCCTCAGAATAAAGCCAGAAAGCTTCCTATTTGAAGATGGTCGAAGCCTAACAAGCCACTAGGAGAGACTATTAGGCTCCCGTACCATGATAGGAGGGTTTTTTGGCCCGAAAATAAAGTTTCTCGCCCTGAAGGGACGAGACCGCCGTCTGGATTTCCCAGACCGCCGTCTCGTCTCAATGCCAGGACGAGACCGCCATTTCGAAATTCCAGACGGCGGTCTCGTTACCTGCAAAAGTCGAGACGGCGGTCTGGATTTTCCAGACGGCAGTCTCGATTCCTGCCTTGTCGAGACGGCGGTCTGGATTTCCCACACGGCGGTCTCGACCCACTGCCATGGACGAGACGGCGGTTTGGAATTTCCAGACGGCGGTCTCGACCCTGTCAGAGGAGACGGCGGTCTCGACCTGTCAGGCGCGAAAAACTATAAATAGGGGCGTCATTTCTCCCTTTTTCAGACCCAGCAGCAAGAGCTCTCCCTTCTCTCTAGATTTTCTCTCTCTAAGAATCCCTCCGAGGCATTTCCGGAGTTTCTGAGCATCTTTAGGCCTAAAAAGAGCGTTCTAAATCTTCTTAAGAATCCCTCCGAGGCATTTCCGGAGTTTCTGAGAGTTGTAGAGTGAAGGGTTGCCAAAACGCACGCTCTCTTTTGAATATATAAAAGCTTGCTTTGGAGGTGCATATCCTCACTCTCTATTTTTATTACTGCTATTTAAATTACGCAATAGAAGCTAGGGCCATGTAGTCATATATTTAAATACCGCATAATAAAAGGGTAAAAACGCTATTTTCCAGTTTAATTATTCATTCAAGCTAGCCAGCCTATCATAGGGAACCCGAAAGGGGCGTTGTAAAGGAACTAACACTTCCTTTACACGTAACTAACTCCCTTACCCAACTCTGGTTCTAATGACCAAGGTTGGTTTTTGAAAACCAACGCCTTTTTAAACCCCTTTTCCGATGTTTATGGTAAAAATATCGGTGGCGACTCCATAGAACCCAAATTAAATAAGTCCCTGGGTTAGCTCGGTTATCGGACAACTCAGGGATACTTTTGAAAACCTCGCCCCTAGGTTAGCCCGGTTATCGGACAACCTAAAGGCGTTGTAACCACCAATAAAAACGCGAAAAATGAGAGAGTCGAAAAACCATCGCGTCGCTCCGACCGCGCACCCCCCTTTTTTGGGGGAGGCGGCGACAGATGGCGACTCCACTGGGGAAGCCTAGAGAGTTGATCCCATTTAGTGATGGGCTGGCTTAAGAATAATTAAACCAAGAAAATAGCGTTTTTACCCTGCCTTGTATTATGACATGTTTTATTATTTGGCTTTCAAATAACTGTTGCTTGTTTATACTTCCGCAATTGATTGGAATATAAATTGCACACAAAACCCTTGCACACTACAGTTCCCTCTATACCCGGGGGCAAGTGAGATAACCATAGGGAGTGGGTGGCAGGTACGGTTCGCTGCAGTTAGGGCCTTGTGCCCACTAGTGTGATCGGAAACCACCACTCAAGGTGATAACCTTCCTCTTTTGGCAACAAAACCGACTCTGGCCTTAGTGCTGAGCATGGTTGGACGGCTGGAGAGTGGGGACCCTATAATGGGGGCACCTTGAGGGCCTTAGCCTGGTGAGAACAGCTAGAACCTACCCTAAACTAATGCACTTTTCTGCAGGAAAACCCTACCTCGATAAAAACGAAATCTCGCCTGTTCGGGGATGTTCGAATTGTGTGTGCATATGTTTGTTGCATTTGTATGTTGCATAGCATAAACAAGAAACAGAACAAAATCACAAAAATATTTTACAAATAAACACCCTTATCTCGGAAAGTCTGCCTTTTAGCTAGCCTGGTTTCAGGTTCTTTGCAAGCTAAGTAGCCACGCAGTTCCGACATAAGAGATAAGGGACGATAAATATTCTTTCATATAAAGCCATATTTTATCTCGGACAGTCTGCCTTTTAGCTAGCCTGGTTTCAGGTTCTTTGTAAGCTAAGTAGCCACGCAGTTCCGACAGAAGAGATAAAAGGCTATAAAATAAACAAATAAAAACAATAAAAATAAACAAACCATTTTTTTCAAAAATTCATAAATAAGACCTGGTTCAAAAATATTATACACATAACACATTCATATAGATAGTTTACTCTTTCAAAAAATACGCAAATACCATACATCATGTAGAAAAAACATGATAAATAGAAAATAAACACTTACATTCAATAAACATCATCTTCATCAAATCATACACTTTGATTTTAGAAAATGGAGGGAACAAGTAGGCAAGTAGGGAAGGTGGACATTCTCCGAAGCCATACTGAAAAGCTAGAACGGCTTAGTACAACAATGCCACCGGAGGTCCGCGCTGACTTTGAAAAGTCCTATGGACGACTCTGACTCCTCCCAAGACTGCCATCAGCCCTTATTAAAAATGAATTCTCGCCTCGTTCGTGGATGATCGAATTGTGTGTGCATATGTTTGTTGCATTTGTCTCGTTGCATAGCATAACCAAACAACAAGAAAAATCACAAAAAATATTTTTACAATAAACACCCTTATCTCTGACATACCTGCCTTTTAGCTAGCTTGGTTTCGTGTTCTTTGTAAGCTAAGTAGCCACGCAGCTCCGACGTAAGAGATAAGGGACGCTAAATATTTTTCACATAAAGCCACATTTTATCTCTGATAGCCTGCTTTTTAGCTAGCCTGGTTTCGTAGTTCTTTGTAAGCTAAGTAGCCAACGCTAGTTCCGACGTAAGAGATAAAAGGCTATAAATAAACAAATAAATAAAAATAAAATACTAAATAAAATCCGTTTTCAAAACCATAAATGGGACCCGATTCATAAACATCACAAATCATTCATATAGGTAGTTTATTTTTTTCTAAAAAATATAAATACCATACAAAACATGATAAACAAAATAAACACTCACATTCATTCAAATAAGCATCATTTTCATAAAACATGCATTTTGGTTTTAGAAAATGGAGGGGACTAGTAGACAATTGAAGAAGGTGGATATTCCCCGATATCATACCGAGAAGTTGGAACGACTTTGCGCTGCAATGCCACCTGAGGTCCGCGCCGACTTTGAAAATCCTATGGACTGATTCTCGACCTGTTAAAGATCTCAGTGTCGATCAAGTGTTCCTCAGTGGTATTAATTCACTTTTGGAACTCCAGCTCGCGATGCTTTGAATTTCCGCAGCTCGATATGGTGCCTACCTTGGAGGAGTATGAGATTATGTTGAAATGGCCCAAATCGCTGGGTCCATATCCGCCACGGCATATACTCCCGCAAAGACAAGTCGCCGCCATCATTCAACTACCCTTCCAAGCAGACTGCCCCGATAGGAAAAGGGAACATCCAGTGGTTGGAAAGTCTCAATGTTAGAAGACCACCCGTCCGACTCTGCGTAAAGGACAGAGTGGGTTGCCTTCAACAAAACCCCGGCTTTAATCATTTTTGGAACTATCTTGTTTCCCTTCCACCTCGACACAGTGGATCAAGCCGCTCATGGACGCCTTCTTCGCCTGGGACGTGAACTCGAAGAGTCCCTTGCCTGCAATTTCTGCCGACACCTTGCTCTCCTGTGGAATTTTGCCGCCGAAGCAAGGAAAACACTTCGCTGTCGCTCTTCACTCGCTATTCGTGTGGAGCGCTACACACCTTTACGCTCCAATACATGGGGATATTCCCGATCCTTTAAGGAGCTTCTCCAAAATCCCTCTCCAACGACGCTTAACCTCGAATGGAGGGACGAGTTGGAACAAAAGGACGCCAACAAGTATATCCTGGGTCCGCTCTTGGTTCCGACTCCGCCCAGCTCTCATCGATGTGGAGACTATCCGAACGTACTCTTGATAGACTCGGGGTTGCATAGCCTACTCACCTAGAGTAGCTATGAGACAACCTCATGAGAACCCAAACTACCATCTCTGGGGAACTCTGAGGATCGTGTTTCTTCGGAGACCCATGCACAATCGCCAACTCACTAGCCGTGAGAAGAGCATGGGAGAGACCAGCCTATATGGGAGATAGAGAGCTAGGAAAAGCTCGAGTGACTCGTCTCCGTGACTACGAGGTGTGGAGACAAAGAAGAGGATGTCTCAACCATCCACCACACTCATTACAAGCGCCAATAAGTGAAGAGCCGCATGCTCAAGTCGATGCCTTGACCCGCAGGATAGAAATCATGGGAGCCCGTATGAGGGCCCTTGAAGAAAGAGAGCAAGAATCTATCCTCACCATAGATGGTCTCGCAAAGGCAATGCAAGAAAAAGGATCATGAAATAGAGCGCCTCAAGGATCAGCAGTGCCGACTCCAACGAGCAAGCTATCCGAGCATCCAAAACCGCTAGAACCAGCTCTGATAGTCAAATTCAAGAGATAACCGCCAAGTCTCGCACACCTTGAGGCCGAATCAAGAAAACACGCTCGTACGATCAAGGAATTATTGCAAGAACTCACCAAGACTCTAGCCGACATACGCCAAGAGCGAGAGGCCAACCGGAGACTCAACAAAAGTCTCACCGAGCTACGCCGCAAAGAAAGAGACGGGCTAGCTCAAGCATGGCCGAGTACTACAAGAGAAAGACCGAGCCGTCGCAAAACTCGACGAACCGCAAGCCTTGGTCGTCCATCAAGAGGCGAAGATCAAAGAGGCTCAAAAATACAACGAAGATATGAGCCAAGCGGTCCAAAAGCAAAGCGAAGCACTTGCTCGTCACGTCCGGAAGCCGAAAGAGAACTACATAGAGATCGAGACCCGCCCGTGGGTTTCTTTAGGCTTTTCCGTTTTTGCCAAAAGTTGCTTCGTAGTATGGAGTAGGGGAATGTACACCTTCCGAATGGATAAATGAAATTCTTCTTTATTCCACAATTGTCTACTTGCATGCATGACATTCATTTGCATATTTAATTTCCCTCCTTCACTTTTAATAAATAAGATAATAAA